GGGGAGGATGAGATGGGGTTGGGTTGGGGGGGCTGTTTTTTTTTTTTTTTTTTAAAATTATTCTTTTATAGTTTTTAATTAATTTAAAAAATAAAGAAAATTTTGTCATATATTTTTATCGTATATTTTTATTTTTTAGTTGTCAAAAGTCTTATTTACTCTCCACAAATGTTAACAGAAAATGTAACGGTAAGACTAATGTGCCAATTAATAAAGAGTTGGTAGACTATTTAAACGAATAATTTAGTTAAGGGATCAAAATGCAACTTGAGTAAAAGTTTGAGGACCTTTTGAGTAAATAACTCTTTTTATGTTTTTCCTTGACTGTCACTTTAGATCATTTGTATGTTGTACATTAAATATATATATACAATGTAGCAATAGCTTGAGAGAAATCAGAACTCTATTTTGCTTTAAAGTATTTGAGCTACAAACCCCTTACATTTTAATATTATTTTAACTACGAACAAAAATCACAAAAGGGATTTTCTTCTCAATGACAAAAATTAGGGTTGGGCACGGTACGGGATGGAAGTCATCCTGGTGTCAATCCCGAATAGGAGAATCGGGACGGTATGACACGGGATGGGGGATTTTCAAAACACGTTCAAACCATACCGGCCCCAACCAGGACCGGTATGCTTTGGTATCAAAACTGATACCGTTCACCTTATGCTAAAATTTGAAATTTTTTTCTTCAGTTTTTGCAGCTGCCAAATAACTTCAATTTTTGCAATAGCTGCCAAATCAATCAAATACACAATGTTTTCATCATACTAAAAAGTAAAAACCTGTTCAAACTTCAAGTTCAAGATCAAGCCTAACAAACAAAACTTCAATTTCAATCAATACCATTCCAAATTGCCAAGCTCTAGATGCACATGACAGGCAGGCAGAGAGAGGAGAAGCACGTTTGATGTCAAACAGAGAGAGATAGTTATTAGGGTTCGATTCGACTTCGACACAGAGATGTTTGGTTATTAGGGTTCCACTTCAACAGAGAGAGAGAGAGAGAGAGAGAGAGAGAGGGAGAGAGAGAGAGGAGGAGGAGAAGAAGAAGAAGAAGAAGAAGAAGAGATTGAGATTTGAGATGGATCGATCGATGGTGGAGGGAAGGGAAGGAGAGAGGAAAAAAGCTTCTGGATCTGAAAAATCTTTCCTAAGTTTCGTTCGTTCGTGAGAGAGATAGAGATGTGAGAAGATATACTAAATCTGAAATTTTGGAAATAATATTTTAATATTTATTATTTAATATTAATTAGTTACTGTACAGTACGGTATGGCACCAAACAAGATAACAAATCTGATACCGATGTCGTGCCAAACAGTAACGGGATGACACGGTTTCATCCCATTTAAGCATCAACACCAAACGGTTTGGCATGAGTTTGACATGGAATGACACGATTTTGGGACGGTATCGGTATTCCGATTATGGATTTCGGACCAATATTAAACTACAAGGACAAAAATGGGTATAAACTACATGGACCCATTAGTGTTATTTGACCTTAAAATAACTGAAAAGTTACGAAGTGAGTCAAGTGAGCTCTCCTCCTTGTGGACAAAGCATGACATGTTTAGTAGAGGAAGACTATATAAATTAGATTACTATCATTTGTCCAAAAACAAAGAAATTGTCCTTTTATTGTTGTTGTCAAAAGTTAGGAAGAGAGAGGATTTTTCTCTGGTGCCGTTGAATCTCAAATCTGTAAGTCCAAACCATTTTTACACACTAAACTCCATTGACAGAATTGTCTTCATTTTGAGGCTTCTGACAAATAGCCCAAAAACTACATGCCAAGAGGCCCAAGAAAATGTAGTTTAGCAAACTCAGCTAGCTATACATTTGCATAATTCTTCCTCAAATTTGTATTTGTTATCAAATATGTACTGTGAGGAAGACTAACGAAAAAGCAAATCGAAAAGAAATGCAACACACAAAATTTTATTCATCTCTCATATTTAAACATTAGATTTCGTTCACATGAAAAGATCAACATCCATCTCAACATGAACAAATACATACATAAACACACACATTAATATATAAATATATAGAGCCTCGAAAGATCGATCAGATTCCCATCATTGTACATTCACCTCCTTCACATCCTTCTTTGGCTTCTCAGTTCTAGGAATGGTGATGGTCAGAACCCCATCCTTCAGCTCTGCCTTTATATCATCAACTTTGGCATCATCAGGCAGCTGGAGGACGGTGTCATAGTAGCCATATCTCCAACCCTCCGATCCTTCTTCCTCCTCTTCTTTGTACTCTCCTTTGATTTCCAAAACCCCATCATGAACAATGATCTTCACATCCTCCTTCGCAAGCCCCGGCACATCGTACTGCAGTTTGTAGATGTCACTTTGCTCTTTGACACGCCCGGAGAGTGACCATGGTGATATGTTGAGGTTGTCAAGCAGCCTGTTTATGTTCTCTGTTGCTTGCACCAGTGCATTTCCAAGGCCCGAGGGAAAGAATTCTAAGAAGAAAAGAATGTGTTAGCAAATTAATTCTCACTTTGAGCTTTGCTTTTTCAATAGTTTTAGTTAGTCACATTTGGGTTAATAAATATGAAAAAACAAGGGTTATCTTCAACTGAAAGTCGTGTCAAACTGTCAATAATCTGAATCACACGTTTATATACAAATTAAATAAGAGTGAAAGTAATCGATGATTCAGATTTATAGTCTGAAAACATAATATACTAGACTTAAATTTGTACACTTAAACCTAATTAAATCATTAGGTTTAAACATGATTAAACAAGAGTCTAAAATGATCAAAGATCTAGACTATAAGGGAGTGAAAAAGTACCATAAAGGGCAGGAACGAAGTTTCTGTCACCGTCCCTCCAAAGTCCCCTCCTACGTTGCCTTCTAGGGAACAACCTAGACCTTTTAGCTTGTGAAACAGCAACATCTTTGTTCTCTGATTTCTCACCAGACACCTTCTCATTAGCTTCTGTACTAAATCTCTTCACAATCTCATTGCCAACTCTGCCTCTGCTCTCACCAACAGTCCTCTCATTAACACTATGCCCCAGCACAGAAGCAGCAGAAAAAGAAGCTGGAGAAAGCACCCTCTGGTGCAAGTTTTTCAAAGCCAAACGCGCCAAAGCCATTTCACAAACTTGGTTTTTGAGTCTGAAGAATTAGGGTTGTGGGTTTTTGCTGTAGGGCTGGTTTGGTTTAGATGATGTTGACGGAGAAAAGGAGGGCTGTGGCAGTGAATTTAGAGAGGGTTCGTGTGTTGGGTGCTTTTAGTTTTGGACAATTGTAGAAGGGTCTGAGAAGTTCTGGTAGTGTCCCAGGTACGAGAGGACACGTCAGCAATTGAAGGATGGTGATGTTCTTGATCCTTCTCAAACATGCCAATGGATCAGATCAACTATGACCCACGAGGAATTTGTAGATTGTCCTTGAGGGGAAATGCATCTGATGCCACGTCTTTTCACGTTGTTTACTTGGTTTCTTTTGACGTATATCATGTTTAATACATGGCAATTTTTATTTATTTTTAATACAAGTGATAGTTTAAACTATAAGAGAGTTTCTCACACACACTACGTGTCATGAGGATTCAAATATAAAAACACTGATCTGCAAGTCAAAGGTCTTATTCCACTGGAAAAGACCTCGTTCGTGATTATGTGGCATTTTTTTGTTTTCCACCAAATTGTGTAGCTTTCCAGTCATCCATTAGAAAATTAGGAAAAAGTTACCGAATGTAGAAAACTAAGAAATTTAGAAGGGGGGATGTGGCTGCTGCTTTTCACAAAAATCTCACGCAATGGAGACAACCATGTGAAACCACATATGTTTGCATACACAAAAGAAGATTTTCTTTTGGTTCATTAGTACAAAGGCTCATAATATTTTACGCCAGCAAGCATGTGGTAAATCCTTATATTCATCTGTTTCTAAATATATATCATTTTAGGTAAGGGAACCTATTTTTACCGTAAAGCTTATGTTCACCGCACAAACTCAAAAGAAAAAGCACAAATTGCGGCATTTCAAATTATCACTGTGACGAAATTTTGCAAATGGAAGTTGAGAATTTTGCAAAACCGCCCACCGTGAATGGTGGCAGAAACCAATCCTATAAATCAGTTTGAATGCAGTACAAGGGCACATCTAAAAGGCCCTGGGAGTTAAAATCCAAGGAGAAGCAAGCAAAAAATGATGTTATAGTCAATGTACACGCCATGCTATCGCTTCCTAGTTGCTAGGAGGCAGTAAAAATGTCACAAATACTTGGATCAACTTCCGTAACTAGCCAACTTAAAAATCTCTAGTACCTCGGCTGCTCAATCGTACAACCCCTCTTGCTCCCAAACATCAACAAGAAAATCTACCATTTCCTGTTAATATCAAGAGCAGCAAATAATTAGATAGTCTGTTTCTAAGGATTACAACAGGCCTGCAGAGGAAGAGAGACTCACAGGAAGAGGAATAGGCTGAGGGAAAGGCTTGTTACTCCCAAGTAAACTTTCATACGACGCATTCCAACTGCAAAGGCAGAACGATTTAACCATGCTGAGACAATGAGTGCTGACAAAGTACAGAAAGGTACTCATGAATACTCATTGCCTACTTTACAGAGAATGAAGTATGCAGTCAAACACAATTTCCGACTTACTATGTGCAATGAAACTCGGAATGAAGAAACACAGAACATAGAAATTCTAACATTTATTGTTTTCTAATATAAAAAATAAATATATTGTGAGAAAAAAAAATTCTTTTTGTCGGAAGTGACAGACAGGTTGTTGTATTCAATTGTCTATCAATTACAACAAAAATAGTGGATACCATGTATTTGGTTACGCCTTAAAAGCTAAATAGTTCTTTCTGGCAGATCTAAACATAAGAGGTCCACTAATCTTGAGTAGATAAAGGACAAAAGAAGCAACTTACCTTAATTTGGGTTCTCGAATTTGCTTTGCTGGGCTCTGAGACTTTTTATTCCCTACCCAACGCTGCCTAGTTTGGTTCCAGAGAAGAAGACCTGCAGCAGAGATCCCAAGTAAGATAACTTTAACAAGGCTCCACACACACACATTTGTCAAGACAAGAAGAGCAATGGAAGAGAAAGATACGAATATAACAAAATGACTAGAACACAAAGTGATCTACGAGTCTTGAAATCATGGCAAATATATGCACTGTAAATTAAACCTTACAAGATCGTGTCTGCAAGAAGATCTAGTAGGCAAAAGTGCGAAACAAATTGGGAAACAGGCTGTTAGCAACACAAATTTTGATTGACTCCACTAAAGGTAACTATACTGCCAATGCAGCTCAGTCTTTAGGAATGTCCATGAGGAGTCCGAATATGACCCACCTGATAGCGAGTCGATAAACCCAGTTTCCAATTTAACCATCTCAGACATATGCACATGCAAATCCAACAAAGTTACTGAAACCTCAAAAAGGAACAAAGAACTTGCCATGATTTACAAACTCAGAAGGGGTGGTATTGCTGCCAGAGCCACCATGCGGATCAAGCGTCTGGTTTGTGCTGATTGATGACATGCTTCCCTGCGACTGAACTGCACTGTTGTCCATATCCCACGTGCTGGTGGTCCAGAAGTCCTCTGATATGCTTGGTTTATTTATTGTCCGACTTTCGTTTAATAATCCTTTTGGTGGCTCATTCACTGAATTTTTCAGTGTGGTCTTACCATGGCATGCTAGACAGCCACTGCTCTGTTACAAATCACATCTGATTCTGTTAGAAATCATGTATACTCGTATAATTTAACAATACCAACTAATACAAACTAAACATCAAATCCTATACAAAATCCTAGTCAAAGTCCAAGCGATAGTTTGGTAAAACCACCGCCCTGAGAAAATTTCACCAATCACAACTACAATTTTTTCCTTTGAAAAGATGAGATCGCTATTGTCAATACAAAAGTAGTGTGAAAAGTGAACCCTGAACAGAAAATTCCTTGAAATAATTACAGAGGGGCTCAACATAAGCAGAAAACCACACAATGGCATCGCATTGACAGAATTCCAGCTCCTGGTGTCAGCACAAGTTATGAGTACTCAGCTAAACTTCTTAATCAGGATATGCTTTAAATCCAAATCCCAAAATCCAGTTTAACGAAGACCATTACGAAACATCCCTATTAATAATAATCAGAGGTATGCATTGAATTAACCTCCTAATTCCGAAAGAAATGTTGAACCTTTGTTGCTTGGCATCTGAGGAATGTGAGCCTCTGCTTAAGGGTACCTTACACAGAATTTAATCTAATTGAATTGACAATTTGATAGTTTTCTCTATCAAGTCCAACAGTAGACAATTCCCAATTTATCCTGTTTACTTAACCATATACAATCATATTACTAGGCTAAGCTAAGTGGGTGAAATTCCTAGAAACTAAAATCCAAGTATAAACCCACAAATCTTATTTCCTATTCATAATTTCTCAACCCAACTATACAACCCATTTCCTCTTCTCCACCCAACAATCAAATCAATTACTGACACACAAAGATAACGAATGAAGAAAACCCACATAAAGTCAAAACCAGAAATTTCATTCATCCACACAATCTAATGAAATTTCACAACCCAGAAAAGGAATCAGAAAACTTACCCCATGCATGCAATACAGGAAATACCCAGAAAGCAATATCAGATCTACTGCAAGGATTTTCCCGGGAATGTAAAATCAATTCAGCAAAATCCGATGGAAAATTGATTACAGGAAAGAAAACCAGAGAGCCCTTCCTAAGAATCCAAACAAAAAACAAGACAAATCGATCTCAATTCAACAACGAAACTCAAGAAAACAATAAAGAACAACAAAGAGAGAGAGAGAGAGAGAGAGAGAGAGAGAGAGAGAGAAAAGTAAATCTTTGATGGCATAGAAACTGACCCGTGAGAAAATGTTTATTTCTGTTATATTACTCTAACCCTCTCGCTCTCAATCCTGAAATCAAATTCCAAAGGCATCAACTTCCTGAAGCAACGCCCAGAAGAAGAGATGGCCCTTTGGATTCTTTCAACTTTGCTTCTTCTTCTTCTTCTCTGGCAAATGGCAATTATTGGGAAACGGAAGGGAAAGCTACGACTGACAGAGATGGGAAGTTTATATAATGGGATTGATTAGTGGTAAGCTTGGATTCTCACCATTTAATTATTTTGCGTGGGACTTTTACCTTACCTGTTTTTACATTTTAGACCCTAAATTTGGTCAGTTACCCTTTTGTTTTTTGGTTTCCCTTTTGTTTTTTGGTCAATCAGTTTCCCTTTTGTTTTCAGACAAAGAAGTTTCTTAAAACCGAAAAAAGAAAAGAAAAAAGAAGGATTAACTACACTTTAATACCCGGAGGTTTAGTGTCAATATCGAAATGGGCCCCAAGGTTTCAATTATATAAATTTCATACCCGACATTTCAAAGTATTACCAATTTACACCCGCCGTTACGTTGACCGTCAAAGTTAACGTTATTTGCTAACGTGGCAGCCATGGGAACCACCTCATAACCTAACACCAGTTACAAAGAGATGAGACGAAGGGCAATTTCGGGAAAAAAAAAAAAGAGAAATGAAATTTGAAAACCGCTCAGCTGGGCACGTGTTCCAAGGCGTCATTCCAATACCCAAGGCTTGGACAACGACATCAAACGATCTCAGTTTTTGAGTTTTCGAGAGACAGTGAGACGTAGAGGAGAGGGTTTGTTCGAAATCTTGAGCAAAGATTTGAAATCGACTGCGCAACTCAAACTGAAACGGAGGTTTCCGAAAGCTGTGAAGAATATGAGTTGGGAACTTCGTCCCAAAGGATATGGAGAACCTTTCTACGGTATGTATGGTTTAGTGTGCTAAGGTGTTTTGGAGTGAAACTTTGAAATAGAGAGTCTGAGTTTCGAGTTTGGTGTCGAGTGAAAGTTTGGCTTTTATAATGGATTTTGAGTTTTGAGTTTGGTGTCGAATGGTAGGTGGTATACTGAAGTACACTTTGGCTTTTGTATGTGGTCCTACAACCGCTGGGAATCTTACCTTTTGTGTCTGTGTGTATTGACATAGAAAGTTTGTATTTGTATGTGTGTATGCGTATGTGTCTTATTGTATTTGTATTTATTTGTGGTAATATTTTGTATGTGTGTGTGTATGTGTATTTGTATTTGTATTTTTATGTGTGTATTTTAATGCAGGGGATGAGGATGGATTTTCTATTGAAATGTACCACAATGGTGAAATAAGAGGTAACTATTATGTGAATGGGTCTGTTGATTGGTTCGATTATTGTGATAAGGATAGAATGTCAATCATTGAGATAGATGCCATGGGAAAGGAGTTAGGGTACGAAGGTATGATTAACTACTGGTACAGTATTCCAGGTGACCATTTTGATGGTGGCCTAGTTAAGCTGAGTGAGGATGCAGATGTACTAGACATGCTAGTATTTGTGCCAGACACTAGGTTGATAAATATATTCCTAGAACATGTCTTGGCATGCAGTCAAGAGCAGTTTTACAGTCAAGTGGCTTCAAACATGTTTATAAATTTGGATGATGATGTTGGGACCAACACGGGGGGGTGGACAAGTATCAGGTGCAAAAGGTGAAAAAAACGAGTGTTGTAATAGAAGAGTTGAATGATGAAGGGTTGAATGAAGAAGCAGGTGGACAAGGCAAAGAGTTGAATGAACAAGGGTTGAATCAAGTAGGGTTGACTGAAGAAGGGTTGACTGATCAAGCTTCTAAACAAGGCAAAGAAACTGCTACTGTGAATAATGAGGAGAATTCTGCCAAGGGCCAAGAAAAGGCTAATGGTTGTTCTAATAAAGGCAAAGGCAAGGATAAAGCGATGGATGAAATGTCAGCTAGGGTGAAGCGTGCTTTTAGTAAAAAAAGATGCGGCATTTTAAGGGCAAAGACTGTTCACCACAAAGACAAAGAAGGTGTGGAAGGAAGGGTTGAGGGCGTTGGGACAAAGTCCAAAAGGCATTCCATGAAGTTGAGAAGTGGAAGAAGATATGCAAATGCTGCAGACTTTGAAGATGAAGATGATGATTCTGTTGACAGTGAGGATTCAGATTATATAATTTCCAAGAACTTTAGTGAAGATGAAGATGATGGTTTTTTTGAAGAATGGGTGGATGACCAAACTGAATGGACAGGGGTTAAACAAACTGGGAATGAGGCTGCTGCTGATTGGCCTACAGATGTTGAATTGGATTCTGAAGATTCTGAGTGCAATGATTATTCCAAGTATAAATCCGACGATGAAGCTAATACGAATTGGCCAGAGTTCAATGCTGCAACTGACATGGCAGATCCAAAGTTTGAGATTGGCATGTTGTTTACTGATTGTAAGGTGTTTAGGGCAGCTGTCAGAGAATACTCCATCTTGCAGAATACGGATGTTGTGTTTATTAGGAATGCGGCTTTGAAGCTGAAGGTAGTTTGTGGGGACCCAAATTGTGGGTGGATGATATATGCTTCAAAAATGCAACATGAGAACACATTGCAAGTGAAGACATATGTAGGTGAGCACACATGTACACAGCTATAGGAGAACCCTACTGTGAAGTCAACATGGATAAGCCATTAATATGTTGAGACATTGAAGTCCAATCCCCAGTGGCCAATCAGGTCATTCAAGGAGACTGTTGAGAAGGATTATAATATAGGGGTGTCAAGACAACAAGTGTATAGGGCAAAAGAGAAGGCACTAAAGGATATTGAGGGCACTTTCAATGAACAATATTCAAGAGTTTGGGATTATTGTCAGGAATTAAGGAAGAGTAACCCAGGAACCACAGCAGTGGTTAAGTGTGATTTCCAACAGCAGTTGGGGCAACCACAGTTTCAAAGGTTGTATGTTTGTTTAGGAGCTGCTAAGGAAGGCTTCAAAGCTAGTTGCAGGCCCATTATAGGTTTAGATAGGTGCTTTTTGAAGAGTGTTTATGCAGGGCAACTGTTAACTGCTGTGCGTATAGACGCAAACAATGAAACCTGGGTAATTGCATATGCAGTTGTGGAATCAGAGTGCAAGGATTCTTGGATTTGGTTTCTCCAGCTATTGGTTAAGGACTGTGAAATAGTTAATCAATTTGGCTTCACCTTTATATTTGACAAACAAAAAGGGTTACTGCCTGCTTTTGAGCAAGTGGTCCCTAATTGTGACCACAAGTTCTGTGCAAGACACCTTTTTACCAACTATATGATATTGTTCAAAGCAAAAAGCCTAAGAGACAAGTTTTGGGAAGCAGCATATGCAACCACTGCCCCCCACTTTGCAAGGGTCATGGAAGAACTGAAAAAGCTGTCCAAGGATGCATATGAATGGCTAACCACTCCAGATAAACCTCCAAGGCGTTGGTCAAAATCACACTTCAACACTCATTTGAAGTGCGACATGTTGTTGAATAATCTGTTCGAGTCTTTCAATGCTACCATATTGGAATGTAGGGATAGACCAATTCTTACAATGTTTGAGTATATTAGATGTAAGCTGATGAGGAGAATACAAGGAAGAAGGGAAAAAATGCTGAAATGGAACAGGGCTATCTGCCCAAGAATATTGAAGAAAGTGGAGGGAAATAAAGCCAAGGCAGGTGGTTGTGTGGCAATGTGGTCAGGTGGAGGTAAATTCCAAGTGTCAGCTGGTGGCCATGCACAATATATTGTGGACTTGGAAGTGAGGAGTTATTCTTGTAGAGCATGGGATTTGCAGGGCTGGCCTTGTGTTCATGCTATTGCAGCCATCAATTATAAAGGGGGTCTTGATGTCATGGAGTTTGTGGATGACTGATATTTGACAACAACTTACTTCAAGACATATGATAATCTCATACTGCCTATGAATGGAATGGATATGTGGGATATGAGCGACTTTCCACCATGTCTTCCTCCTGCTTACTCTAAATAGCCTGGAAGGCCAAGAAAATGTAGAAACAAAGAAGAGGGAGAGCATAAGGGCAAAATGAAGATGAGAGAGTCAAGCATCCAAGCTAAAACTTCATTGTCTCGCATTCCCAACACACAAGACTCTCTCAAATGTGGGCAATATGGTAAAAAGGGGCACAATAAAAGGACTTGCCATAGGAATCTTCCTCCAAAAGCCAAACCTGCAACTAAGAGGAAGAGAGGTACTGAAAATACCCAGGTATAGCAACTGAATCTTATTCAATTCTATCCCTTACTAACCCAACCCTAAGCTTTTGTTGCTAACTGACAAGCATTTTGATGTTGTAGACCACTATTGATCCATCTCAAGTATCCACTTCAGCTGGTCCAAGCACCATAAAGAAAAGATCAAAGCCTCCAAGGCGTGTGCAAAAAGGGAAACCTCTGGTAAGTAACTTCTCTTTATGATGGTTATTATCAATTTTCTTCAATTTCCAAATATAAGATTAACATCCTAATCATTTTGCAGCCAAAACCAAGTAAGAAAGGAGATGCCACTTCTGAAGCAGAACCAGCCTCAACTTCATGTCCTCATGCATCTGCTTCTGTTTCTACTGCAGGATCAAATGTTGTAAATTGAAGCTGACTGAAAAATGAATTTGATGACTCACCTTTTTTGTTAGACTGGCAGTTTGTGATTAGGAGGTTTTTGTTTTTGATAAATTGGTCCTGTATAAATTATGTACTGACCTTTTTTATGGATGTAATGGCATTGACATAAGGCTCAACTACTGTGAATGCAAATACATCCACTGAAACTGCCATTTTGATGTTGAAAGGACATGAAATATGTATTTGACAATGTTATTATCTGGCTATTTTGAGCCCATTTTGAATGCAGAATTTTCTAAGTTTTTGGGTTGGCACTTCATTTCATTGTTTTGCCACTTCACTTGATTGTTTTGGCACTTCAGTTCATTATTTTCGCCATTCAGTTGATTGTTTCAGGTGCATCCATTTTATAACTTCCGTTTACATTGTTTTTGCATAATTTGACAAGCACACAGTTCATTATTTTCGCCATTCACTTTATTGTTTTGGCCTAATTTTCTAACTTATCTTTACATTTTTTTAGGCATTCCTTTGCATAGTTTCACTAGCACACAGATTGACATGGCCATTCACTTCATTTGCATACTCCTTATGATGACCATTCACTTCATTTAGATGTCATTCTTTGCATTCCGTTCACTTCATTTAGATGTT